TTTTACAGTTGCAACTTTATATAAACTTTTTCCTTTAATAAAAGATTCATGCCAATACTATTAATTTTGGATGGTGTGACTTTAAATTGCCCAACAAATTATTGAATGTTAAACACAAGTTAATTGGCTGGAAAAAGTCAACAAGATACCAAATCAAAGCTAAAATAAATGGCATCTTGCAAAGGGTTCAATCTTTAGAACACCAAATTCAAGACTCTAGAGTGTCGTTGGAGGATGTTCAACTTTAAAGAATAGGTTTAGTCCAATCTTTGCATGAATACCACATATTGGAAGAAATATATTGGAGACCGAGATCAAAGGTCAAATAGCTCAAAGAAGGAAATCTCAATACAAAAATCTTCTAGTCAATTGCCAATGCTTGTAGAAGGCATAATAATATTTCAAGACTGGTCTTTGAAAGAATTGGTGAAGATGATCATCAACGATTGGAAGAGGAGATTGTCAATCATTTTAAAGTAAAAACTCTTTTGGCACGAAATTTGAAAGGTATACCATTCAAAAAACTTACCAATAGAATATGCTAGAGTGTTGGAAGTTGATGTTACATAGGAGGACCTTAAAAGAGCAGCATTAGATAAAGCACTAGAACCTAATGGTTTCCCCTTAGTTTTCTTCCAAAGGGTTTAGTCTTGGGTGAAGAATTAGCTGCAACAAATGGTGAAGGAATTTCTAGAGAAATGTGAGAATTGTAAGGGTTTGAATGCCACTTACATCGATTGCTCTGATACCTAAAAAATCTTCCATAAGGGGATTGAATGCTATTAGACCCATTAGCCTGCTCACTGGTATGTATTACATTATTTCTAAAATCATTGCTAAGAGGCTCAAGGTTGTTTTCTTTTGGTGATAGCAAATCCACAAAGGGCTTTCATTCACAACAGACTTATCACAGACATTATTCTTATTGCTCAAGAATATATCCACTCAAGAACTTTCATTGGTGAGCCAGAAGTCTTTTTAAAATTAGACATGGAAAAAGAATATGAGAGGGTGGATTGGGAGATTCTTCAAAAGATTATGGTATGCATGGGTTTCGGGGTGAAGTGGAGAAGATGGATTTCATGATGGCTTTCTAATGCTCATTTCTCAGTTTTTAATTAATGGGATTTCAAATGGGTTCTTTAAGACAAGAAGAGGAATTAGACAAGTTTCAGTGCTATGCTGAGAAATGTGGAAATGAAGATAGATTCAAAGGTTTCAGGTTTCAGGTTTCAGGTTTCAGGTTTCAGGTAATGCATCAAGTATTTCTCACCTCCAATACATAAATGATACTTTGGTGTTTTGTGGTGCTAGTTTGGATGTTACAAGCGACACCAAGCAAAGAAGATTTGGTTAATTTTGATAGGAAAGCGCTCTACCTTACTCTCTATTAAGTGTGCAAACACATTAACCAAATCTTCATTACAAGCGACACCAACCAAAGAATGATTCGGTTAATGTGTTTGCACACTTAATAGAGAGTAAGGTAGAGGGCTTTCCTATCAAATATTTAGAGATGCCAATTTTATATACTAGATTAGGTAGACCTACTTGGGCTTCGATAATTTAAAGATTTCAAGTCAAGTTTGATCTTTGGAAAACCAAGTTCTTGTCATTGGGAGGAAGGATAACCCTAATCAAATCTTTTATGGCTAATTTGCCTATCTATCAGATGTCTTTGATGACGATGCTTAATTCAGTGGCTAAACAAATCGAAATAATGATGGTAAAATTTTTGTGGGGAAATTTTGGGGAGGAGAATGTATCATCTTAATTGGAAGTATGTAATCTGAAATACAAAGGTGGCTTGGGAGTGAGAAAGATCAATATTATGAACAAATCCTTGTTTAGCAATGGTGGTGGCGATGTTCCCAAGATGATAATCGGTTATGGAAAGACATCTTGATGGTTAAGTATGGTGTGGATCACCGCACTCAGCTAATTGGTAATAGCAGAGGTGGGGTGGGACATCATTCTTGTCTTTGGAAAGGCAATTTATGGTGCAAGCCTCTGTTTGCAAGGCATACCAAAAGGGTAATTGGAAATGGGGACAATATTTCCTTCTAGTAGCATAAGTGGCTAGGTGATAGGCCACTAAAAATTCGTTGTCCAGATCTATTTGCTAGAATACCCAATCTAAATCTAAGGTAAATGACTTATTTTCATCGAGTGGTGCTAAAAAATCATGTGATTTGCGATGTGTTTACAGCAAGATTCTAGAGGGGCCTTTCACCGGCTTCTAGAACTCCCTTTGGAGTTGGATAGTTTTTACTTGTGGGGTGGCATAGAATATGGGATAGTTTTTACTTGTGGGGTGGCATAGAATACGAGATAGTTTGGGAAGTGGAGACTGATGGACTCTTTTCAGTTACATTTACTTATCAGCAATTATTCTACGATCATATGCGATGGGAGCATCCTATGCTCCGCAAAGTGTGGAAATGGCCAATTCCTCCCAAAATACAGGCTTTCCTCTAGAACCTTTTGCAGGGTTGGGCTTTGACTATAGATAATCTGAACAAGAGAGGGAAAATTCTGGTTAATGTGTGCCTAATGTACAAGGAGGATGAGGAAACACGAGACTTGTTTTTACACTGCAGTTTTGCTTTTAAGATTTGGGTTTGGGCCTTGGATTTGATGGGGATATCGCTGATGCTGCCCCAAAATCACAAGGACATAGTTGAGCATTTGAATTTGCCTGGTCTACCATGCATGGGAAGTGATTTGGAGCATTTGAATTTGCCTGGTCTACCATGCATGGCGAAGTGATTTGGAAAGTATTCATGCTTACTGATATGTGGGGGGTTTGGAGGGGACGTAATCGATGGACCTTTAATGGAGGAAGTTCTAACGACAATGCCTTCAAATGGAGAGTTTTTTACAAATTTTGGAGTTGGTTTGTTCTTTCAAAAGAAGGAGGTGTCTCATAGCTAGATATGGGGCTTAACTTGGCAAACTTGGTGAACCAAGGGACATTTATAGTGAGACTGAAGATTAGTTGGGGTCCCTTTAATGGGAAGATTAAAGCTAAATTTTGATGGGAGCTTGGTTGGAAATCCAAGGCCGACAAGTGTATGTGGGGTGTTCATAGACTCACGACAGAATATACTCTAGGCCTACTATTTGCAGGGATTGAAAATATTTAAAAAAATACAACTTTTAAATTGTTTAGAGGTGGAAGGAAACTCGAATAATGTCATCAAGTGGTGCAAAAGGGAGCAATAGGTTCTTTGGACTCTAAGATCAATGTGGTTAGAGATATTGCACATAGCAACTCTTTGGACATAAGCGTTAAACATGTTTATAGAGAAACTAATACTATTGCTGATGAGCTTGCAAAGATTGAGTTTCCTTGCCCATATTTTCTTGTGTTGATGATTTTTCTTTTTGCCATTGTAACTATGTTGTACTTTGAATTTTCTGCAATAAATTGTGAACCTCATCAAAAAAAAAAAAAAGTGCGAGAGGGAGCGAGACTCATTCATCTGTATTTTTCTGGCCGTAATTTTCAGGTCCCTCTCATGTTATGCTAAAATTTCAAGGTTGCTAGTTGCACATCTCTTTAAATATCCTTGCGAACAACACACTCTCTCTCTCTCTC